CCAGACAATTGCGCACACAAGCAGTAGCAGCCATCCACAAAGTTTACTGAAGCAGCCAACGCTTCTTGTGTCAAGAAACAATGTTGTTCAGCAACAGAGCAGAGTATCAGTCTTACCAAAAGTCAACATCAAAGTTGAATCAGGTACATGTTGCTTTAGAGAAGCTTAGTCTGGATTCAATATTGGTCAATTCTTCTTTAGATGACATACTATGTTTTTCTTTTTTCCCCTTAGGTTTCTCTTTGCCTCCCACACCACCATCTTCAACAACCAGTGACAGTGAGGGAAATGACCACCATCCATCCTCACCATCCAACCGTCAGTCGTCACAAGTCAGTAGTCGGTTGCTGGTGTCTCCTCCTCCTAGTACGTCAACAAGACAACCAATCCAGACATCACTGATCAGCAGCCAACCTGTAAGTAATTATCAGACTCAAATTATTTCTTCTCATGATTATCAGAGTGAAAAAATTTCCTGTCTCTCTTAAAATAAGAGCCAAAATTGTATTGTTATTTTTAATGTCTTACAGAAAGGATCCACAGGCATGCTAATGCTGACAGAGGAGGAAAAGCGCACCCTCTTAGCTGAAGGATACCCAATTCCTACTCGACTACCACTCACAAAAGCAGAGGAGAAATCTCTGAAAAAAATAAGAAGAAAAATTAAGAATAAGGTATTTTACTTGAAATTCATTTGACAAGTATTTGTATGCCTACCTTGATCTATCAACTTACAAAAGTAAATTGTTCCTATCTAGATCTCAGCCCAGGAAAGTCGAAGGAAAAAGAAAGAATACATGGACGCCCTGGAAAGAAAAGTCGAAATATTACAAAGTGAAAACTCGGAATACCGAAAGAAGATTGAGAACTTGGAAGATAGTAATGATTCCCTGATCAGCCAACTTAATAAACTCCAAGCCCTTGTAGCTCGTGCTGCAAATAGTGGCAATGCCAGTGCTGTGGCTGCAGCTGCAGCAGCTGCTGCATCATTTAACTCAAGGAACTCTGTTCGACATTCAGAATCAGTCTCACATTCGTCGTTGGGCTCTCACTCATTTAGCAGGAGCTCTGTAAAGTGAATGTCTTATTGACAATTCTCCTCGCGCTTGTAATTATGGGTAAGTTTCTATCTCATTTCTTGCGTGATTTTTTTTCTCCATCCGTTTTATTTTGTGACTAATGTGGACATTGTTGTAATTATGTTGCAGGTAATTTGTTAATGATGGGGATTAACGGATGGCGTCTAATCTTCAACAAGCAACCATTCTGTAGAAATTGTGTGCTGTTTTATTTCAAGCCCATCAAGTTTCCCTCTACATTTTCTTATTTTTCTTTTTATGTGTATAGAAATGTTTATCTTTGCCTCCATAGCTAAATGTTTTCAAATTTAAATGATAAATTCTATGAATTGAGAGCTATTTGAAATTGAGATTGTTGAATGATTTTATTGTTTTTAGTTTGTTAAATTAAGTCATAGTTTTAAGAGTTAAAGCAATGAAAGATGAGGTATTTATGTAACAATAGTATGCATTAAGTTTTGTATATATTTTATATTTTTCACGCACAAAGCATAACTGAATCTGTAGCACAGAGTTGGTTTCAACGCATTTATATTATAGATTACTGCTTGGTTGTTTGAGTAACTTTGTTTCCAGCTCTTGACAGACAGTTGTTAATCTTTCAATTTTATGCTGATGTTGACATTTTTCTTATTCTATCCTTATAATAATATGTAATATATCTTTATGAGAAACTTGTAATTTTATGTGTTCTATTGGATTTTTATTTGAACTTAATGTGTTATATAGAGAAATTTTAACTTCTTATTCAAATGTATAGTACAAGTGAGAACTGAGAGCTTTCTTGGAGTATTAAATATTTATAAATTCAGATTTTTATACTTTTAGGGTAGTAAGAAATGAATCAGCATTATAACGACTCTAGTTGGGTCAGGAATACTCAAAACCCCTTTTGGTCCTCTTGAAGAGCACCTTTAAGGAATTTTATAGCTCATGTGGAAAATGTACCAAATGCACACTTCTAGATGTAGTACTTCAAATCGTTCCAATTTTTCAGTTACAATATATGTATTTAGTGTGCTATCAATACCAACTGTGACCATTGTTGCAGTACTTTGTAATGTTCCTCTCGTTTTTCTCAGAACTGGAGGTTTTTCATATTAGACCGTCACTTTCAGAGACTTTCCGTGTTAGTGGGTCCACAAACGCCTGAAGCAAACCAGCTCAGGGTGGCCAAGTCTTGAAGAACGTGCATCTGGAAAAAAGTTCCAATTGGGATCAGTCAGTTCGTTAATGCTGCATTTGTGTGCTCTTTGATGTTGAGATGGATATCAAACATTTGAGACAAAAAGAACATATATTGACTAAACTGGTTTTAACTTTTTTCCCTTCTACGAAGATTGTCCAAAAATTTTGTAGTTCAATTGAGTGTGATGGTTCTCTAGATTGTTGGACAAAAAACAGTGTGATATTGCTTTTGTTTTTTGTCAACATTCTCGAGGGGAGAAGGTTATCATACCATTCTAGTGCAATAGACAGCATTCACTGTTTGAAGATGCTATGCTTTAAT